GTTTTGAAGTATCTAAACTTGATCTAGTTACCCACCAGTGGAGAATTTTATGTATTTTCAGTGTAAATTACCTTCCCCGGTAAAACACCAACCCTTCCCAAGGTTCAAGTACCTCTGTTTTCCACCACTAACTGCTCATTAGCCTTGTCTCAATTAAAAAACCTCTGGTAACCCCATTTTTCCACCACAGATTTCAGTCTCTCACCTCTCAGCAGTCCAAATTCCTTGAAATTTAGCAGAACGTTCTTCCCACTTCCCAGCTCTTGCTGTCCATCTCTAATCCCTGTCCAACCTGCCAGTGCTCTCCCTGAACTGCTGACAAAGGAAATTNCCAGGAGTTCAGAGTGGGCAAAATGGGAGCGAGGGACAGGAGGCAGCTGGTGCCATGGGGTGAAATGGCTTTGCTGGAGCTGACAGGGAGAGGAGGAGGACGGAGAAAGTGGTGCCAAATAAAAGGGAGAGAAAGACGGACAAGGTGGTGGGGATGGCAATGGGGAAGGTGGGCATTTTGCTTTGCAGCTCTATGGGAGGAAACAAAAGAGCTGTCAAATCCATGCAGGAAAAGAGGGACCTAGTAGCAGGTGTTGGAAATCTCTGACAATTGGGATTCATTTGGTCTGCCTGAACTGCAAAAGCCAACAGTCTCCGAGCACCACCAGCGTTGTGATGTGTCTTGCCCTGCCCCTGCCCTGGCTGCAGCAGCCGCCTGTTGGGATGGGCCCTGGTCTCTGAAAGAGCTGCACCCAGGGACCATTGGGGCAGTGCTGGGTAAGAAGTGAGGAATGGGAAAGGGTGGGAAGTGTCAAGGGAACAAAATAGAATGGATTAAGAAAAAATGATAACAGAACTGCACCAGGAATGGCCACCGACTGCTGTCACCCAAAGAGCTGCGCTGAGGGACGGCCACACGTTTCCCTTCCCACACGGAAATGCTGGGACTTGCCTTCTCCTTAATAACCATCCGTGGCATTTCCAAGGCCAACAGGTACACTCAGAGATGTCTAGAATCATCATTACACTGGGAAAATGGGGTTGGCATCTGCTGTGAAAAACACCAGGAAGAGCACAGCAGCAGAAATAGGGATTTCCCAGCTCCCTCCCAGGGAGAACAGTATCAGCACAAGGACAGAAAATGCTGATAGAACATCCTTTCCCACTGCTCCCTGTGCTCAGCTGGAGGTAGCATCCTTTAGCTTGTGCTCTTCAGTGGGTTTACCCATGGAAATACTGCAGAGGGATGCAGAAGATTTACTAGCATGTTAAAAAGAAGCTGAAAACCCAGGAAGGATGACATTTGGGATAGGGACACAAGCAAATTCACACATCATATGACAGTTCAATATGGCTGTTGTGAGTATGCAGCATGTAGGACAGCTAGATCAAACTAGAATATATTCCAAAACTATTTGGCCTTAAAACTGCAGGTAACAACCCTCACCAATTAAAAAAAAGGAAATCTGCTCAGAGCTAATTTGGATGATCATCCCTGCAGCCACTGGGTATCGTGACTCCTTTTCCCCACCAAACTACAAAGGCTTTACTGTAAATCTCTCATTTTCTGTTTCCTACNGCTGATGAGAGATTAAAGAGTGACAACTGCTCCAGTGAGCGGCCGTATGTCTGCAGCAAGGCCCAAGCTCCCTTGTAACAGGGGCTGCACAAAGGACCTTCTCCACGCTGGGCAGTGCCAACTTCACCTCTGAGCCCAGCACAGCGCTGTCCTTCCTCAGCTGCGCCCTGTGCCTTGCACTTCCTCTCAGGGTCACCTCAGTACCTCTTCATCCCCAGTGCCAGCGCTGGGCTGGGGCTGCAAAGGAAAAGTGTCTGCAATCCATCCTGCCACCGATGCTGCCTGCAGTGAGGGCATTGCCCTCATGACACAACGAGCTCTAATGGAAATCCAAATCTTCCTGGGCTCTTGGAAATCGTCAGAAACAGTTCGGAATGTGACACTTTCAGACTGTCTTTGGAAGAGGAGAAAGAACCGCTGACACATGCTGAACAGGAATCCCACTTTCGGCATCACGCACCTGACTGTGGGGAGTGGTCTGTCTGTCCTAGGCTGAGTATATGATGTTTTTAGCCCCAATTGTCTTGTTCTGTTTATGCTGAATAATAAGTTTTGCCTCTTTAAGACGTCCTCCAGAGAGTGAAGGGGGAGAGAAGAAGCGCACCTTTTGTTTTCAGACACTGCTCTCGCTCCTCCACATTCCTGCTCCTGGACTGTGTTGTCTGCAGATGGACAGACAACGGGATCGAGCTCTCCTTGGCTTTTAGTTAGTTTAGCTAGCTGAGGCAATGAAGTTCCCTGGACTCTGGTTTTTTTCCTTTTTCCCTTTTTTCAGACCTGTTTGAACTTGCTCTGGACTGAACACCCAGAAGAGCACAGCAGCTCACACCTGTGGCCTGCCGGCCTGGGCCTGGGGCACAACATTTCCATCACCAGAGGGACTGATGGGAGACTCAGTGAGCTGAACTGCAACCTGGGGGGGGTACTTTCTCAGTTTGTCATCTCTTTTGGAGCAGCAAGAGGTTTTACTCTTAAATAAATAGTTTTTTTCCACTTTTCTCCAAGGAGGTATTTTCTCCCAGACTGGTTGCAGGGAGGGGCCAAATGAATCTGCTTTCCTAGTGCAGCCCAAATTTGCCCTGAACCAGGACACTGTCACAAAGGATCTGACTGTCCTCCTGTGGGAGGAATCCCAGGCTGGAGCAGTGTAGGGGGATAGAATATAAGAAAATAAAGATGGTGTAGAAAGTAATCTTTCCCCTAAGGAGTTGCAGCTGGGCCAATTAGCAAAGATTAGGAACAGGCCTGATTTTAACAGGCCACAGCTGTAACCAATGAGAAGAAGAGTGCTATGAAAGAATGGGCTGGCCGGTTGAGAAGGGAACTGGAGTCAGTTGGCTGCTTTGTGAAGAATGAAGAGTCAGTGCTCTGAGGAGCTGCCCAGGAGAAAACAGCAAGAAAGTGTGAAACATCTGCGATAAGGAGACAACAGTATGGAACCCCTGTGATAAGATGAAAACAGAGCAGGAGAAGGATTTCTCTCCCTGAGTGGGAAGCAGTGACAAAATGTGTCTGTAGGCCCTGCCCCTCTGTGTCACTGTGTGGGGAGGAGGGAGGGAGGGAATTGTGGATAAAGTGAAGCCCAGGAAGGAGAGAACAGTGTGGAGAAGGTGCATTTT